GCCTTCCCCCCAGAGATTCTGATTCAATAGGTCTACAAAAAGAAACCTAAGAATTTGTACTTTTATATACTAAATTCCCCAGTGATGTTGCTGCTGGGAGATGCAGTTAGTCCAGAGACTGCACTTTTAGTATGTATTAAAATATCATAATTTCTCTGTACCTTAAGTACTTGTGTATTTATGATAATTGTTCAAAAACAATAAATGATTGATAGTACTTAAATTTTTGCCATCTTATGATTAAGCTATTCCTTCATTCTTACATACTACAACATAAAATCACTGCATTTCTTGTTACATTAACTATATTTAATTATCAGTTAATACTTCTTTGTATAAGTTAACAAATAAGCATGACAATGTATTTTTGTAAATAATTCATTCTTAGGTAAGGGATTACTGCCAAGGTCTCTGAAAGAGCAAAAGAAGAAAGTTTTCCTTTCCCGTACCACAGAATTATGTATCTATTAGCACTCTTTTTTCCTGAGGAAAGAATCATCATGTTCTCAAAGGGACCTCTGAGCCCAAAAGGGTTAAGAACCAATATACTGCACTGGTCATATTTTGAGTTGTTGGAATAAAACTCCTTTGTCCTTAAAGTGAAAGTCTTTCCTTTTAAGTCAATAACCTATAGCAAATACACTCTAAGCAGCTTCAAAAAGTTTCTCGGGACCCTGTGCAAGAGATAAAGCATCCTTTAATCCTGGGTCATCAATTTCTAGTCCCTAATCCAGAGTGTCTCCCTAAGGCCCCATAAGATGTCAGAATAGATCCAAGACGACAGTTTTTCCAAATTCATAACTCCTAACCAACACTGCCTACATGCCTGCCAAGTTACCTGTCACTGCACTTGAATCATTGAAAGGAAAAATACACAATAACCAATTTATCAGCTATGCATTTATTCATTTAAGCTTTTATTAAGCACTCAGGTATCAGATCCTAAGGAGACACTTAACCCAAATATGTGTGTGGTAGCAGGTGGGTGGCACATCTCAGAGGGGATGGGTATTAAAGCATGGGTAGCTGCTAGTTGGACAGAGGAGCATTCATCCCCAGTGGAGCAAACAGCTGAACCTAGTATTTGTGGATATGTGTGAGGTGGGGGCGGGAGGAGAAGATAGGCAAAAACCAGCCATCACTAAGAAGCTTTAATTTATTCTGACGGCAACAGGGTAGCTTTAGGAAACTTTTGGGTAGACTGAAGAGTGGCAATGATAAAGATAGTAGCTGTTTGTAATTACTGCCACTCTGAAACAGGTTAAGAATGGCTGTGGCGGCTTTGGTGGGAAGTAATGAGGGCCTGAATGAGAACAGGAACAGAGGGATGTAACTGAAGGAGCATATTTGAGAAATATTAAAGAGACAGACTAGACAGGACTCTGTCACAGTTTTGTTAGTGAAGGTAAAGAGAGTCAGGCATGGAGTATATTTCATGCTTGGACAGCTGAACGTTAGCATCCTATGTGTTCAGTCTTAGATATGTTGAGTTCTAGGTAGCCTCAGGACAGCAGGATTCTGTAGCTGGGAAGAAAAGTGTATGCCAGAAATAAAAAGCTAAGAGACATCAGCACAGGTAGGTGAAGTCTCAGAGGTAGATGTGTTCACATAGGAAAGAAAAAAAAAATACACCCCAATACATGTGTTAGAAATTTATTCATGGCTTATAAGAAGTTTGCTTGATAGAATATATAAATTACAGATTCATCTTATTTACCACTCTATCCCCAATGGCTAGCAAAGTGCCTGGTATGTAATTATTTCATTTAAATAACTTAATAATTATTTCTGCAAAAATGTTTATTTTCTTAGGTTTGTTAGGTTATTAAAATCTCACAGACATATAATCATGGTTAATGTGGATTTAGTTCACATAGCATTCAGTTGTTATTTAAAGCAAAAACATTTGTGTTTAAAAATTTTAATTCACTTAAAAATTTTATCTATTCATCAAATGTCCTTGGCCTGCTGAAGGAAAGTGGTATTAGTATGTGGAATGTGTGTCTAATTAAAGATGTGGCTTTTAGGACCCTTTTTTTGCATCTTCTTGCCAGGAGCCTGGGACATAGGCTGCCCCACTGTCTCTGCCTCTTCCTTTTGATGGGCTCACCCTTTGGGCCCTTCCTTCCATATCTCACAGGGCAGCCTGTCAGAGCTGGCTCCAGAATTTCTCTATGAGAGAATGGGGAAAAGCAGCAACCTATCTGGTTTGAGGAGTAGAGAAAGAGTTGACGTGCATTTGCATAATAATTTGAAAGAAGACAGAAGTAACTTAATTAATCTGTCTCAAAGCAGAGAGAGCCACTAATCCCTACCTCCTGTCCAGATGCAGCCCTCTGCACCACTATTGAAGCCGCGCCCAAGGAATACTGTCTCTGAGATGGTACAGGATGTGTGGCTTTAGGGATTTCAAAAAACACTCTAGTTCCTTCTTCTGCATTTCATTCTGCTATCACCCTGTATTATTATCTTTACTGTGCTTAACAACATTTGAACTTATTTTACACATCTCTTAACTTGATTACTCTTTCTTCACTTGACCAGACAGTCCAGAAGGGCAGATTTGGTTTGGGGCATCAATAAAAAAGTTTCATTTACTTATTTCATACTTGAATAGTAAAACCAAAATCTTTATATTTTCTTATGAGTTTTCATAATAACAACTAGTGTTTAATCATTCTTTATTTAACTCATTATAGTGTCATAACTTGCAGTCTTTGTGAAGTTATTTTAGTGAGATATTCTTTTCCTATGCCTAAGCCAAGATCTAAAATATTATGAGGTACCACAATGTCATTTAACATTTCTCACTTTTTGCCTTTCCAATTTGGCCATTTCACTTAATTTTATACCCATCCCAAATCACAGTGCTACTATACTTATCCTATATTACACATGAGAAAATCTTGCAGGAAAAATGAAACCCAGGATATCACCACACATCAAAGACCCACCCAATGTATGTTGTCATACAGATAAGGGAGTATTTTGCAATAGGCATAGTTTTTTGCCTATAAGCCTCAATATAAATACAAATAAAAATATAGAAGCCCAAAAAATATAGACATGAGAGTCCATGAAGATCCTCAGACACTGAGTGCAGGACTTGACTTCATTATTTACTGTTCTGTGTTCTCTGTTGTTCAGAAAAGCCACATTTGTGATTACCACTGCATTTAAATCACATTTCTTCCATGTTCATTCTCTCTCAGTAAAGGGGTTTGATGACTGCCAAAGGATCTTTCAGGCCAGAGTGATGTGTGCAGCTAAAACTGTCATTTACCTTTTTAGGCTTTAAGTTGCTGTTGAGAATATAAAAATGACCTTTGTTTATAAACTGTTTATGCTTCTATAATCTTTTGCTTTTCCTTTAAAAACAGTGACATTGGAGATTCCATTATGACTCAAGGAAAATTTTCTTTCAAAAGGACATATAGAAAATGTGTAGTATATAGATAGAAATTGGAGAATTTGTGTTTTTTGTCCACAGTTGGCAGTTTTTGCTAGAAAGTTCCAAAAATAAAAACAATGTACAAATGTTATAAGAAGCAAAACAAAATGCACTGTGGACCATGTCCAGGTTCCATGCCTGGAGCAATGGGAAACATAAGATAAAATCCCCACTCTACCGTCATCACATCCTAATGGCTCGTCCTCCAAATATGTCCACAATCGAACCCTGCTTTACCATCTTCATCTTCCATCTTTATGGCATTTATCATTAGCAAACATGGCATATATTTACTATTAGTTTTCCAACTAGAAATAAACTTCTTTAGTGAAGTTATTTTTTTTACTATCTTGTATTTTTCTGTATCCACTGTACCTCAAAACAGTGTCTGACACACACTAAGTACTCAATAAACGTCTTTCAATGGTAGTTAATTATTAACTATTAAAGTTAAATAATGATACAGGTCAACAGCAAATTAATAATATAAGATAGTTCACAGTTAATTGTTCATCGAATAACATAGGTCAGTAATGCACATCAGCATCACTCGGGGAGTTTTTCCAGAGAATAGCTGAAATAGGTTTACAAAAAAAGGTGTCTTGTTATATTAAAGAGCACTGGCTCTGGAGTTGAATACAGTTGAATACAGGTCCATCACTCATTAGCTGGGAGATTGGGCAAATTATTTAACTCTTAGGTACCACACCCATAAAATAAAGGTAATCTCTGGTACCCTCTCTCTACTCCACCACATCCACCCCAACTGCTCCAAGGTCACTGTAAAGCTACGGAATCAAGAATATAAAGTATCTACTTTGGTGCACATAATAGTCACTAGACTAGAACTTAATGGAATTACTTTCACTGAAATAAGAAAAATGAAATCATATTGGCAAAAACACAAAAAGTATGTGTAATCCTGGCATAAGTGGCCACAAAAATGTCTCTTTCTCTTCCAGTGGGACAGGTGAGAAAGAAATGTGTTAGAAGTTCCACAGATATGATGAGATTAGAGCAGTGATTTTCAACTTGAGCATGCTTCATATCACCTGGAGAGCTTATTGAAACACAGATTGCTTGGCCCACTTCTAGCGTTTCTGATTCATTAAGCCTAGGGTAGGGCCTGATAATCTGCAAGTCTAACAAGTTCCTAGGTGATGCTGGCATTGATGCAGCTAGTAGAGGAATCACACTTTGAGAACCAATGAATTAGAGTATGTATATCCTAACAGAACCTCTGAACAGATCAATTCCTTTCTTTTTATTTCTTTAAATAAAAAACCTGAAATACTTCGCTTAAAAAAATAAACCAAAAGATATTTAGAACACTACAATTTGATAAAAATCAACTACTGAGATTCAAATAACAAAAAAAAATTTTTTTCATGCTACTGGTATCCCAATGACAAATATTCTGAAAATTAATTCAAAGCTAACTTAGAATACTCATTTTTTAGAGTTAAAATCCAGATTTTAAAACAGCAGTTTTCAAAGAACATGTGGGCACATAACTTCTGAAGGGTAGATAACCTAGAAGACTACTTACAGGTATGAAGGCATTCTGTCACAGTCGTTGGCTTGATCAGATACCCTTTACAGATATAGCAGGTAATATATGGATTAAAATCTTTTACCAAGTGCTTCCTTTGGGTAGCCATTCGTGGCTGGCTAAGACTGGTTTTAGCAGTTCGGGTAAAGAGGAGTATTAAGTAGATGAAAGTCTGATCCCAGAAGCTGGTGTGGTGTTCCCAACAGGATGTTGTGAGGCATGAGAACTAACATCCAGAGTTATCATGAGATCACTGGTCATCACTCCTTTTGGTGGTTCTGCTTTCCCATATCTGTTTCCAAAATCATTTTAAAAAGAGGAGAGAAAAGGGTGTCAAATTCTTCACATTGTATTAATATCACTCTATTAACAGCAGATGCTACATGTTCCAAATTGGGTGAATGGAACACACCCCTTGTGGTACCATTAACTTGTAAATCCGCTGTAATTTAATTCACAATAATGACAAATACATGCAGTCCTGGAGCCTCAACTATGACCTCTACACCCCAAGCTATTAGCCCCAGTTTGATATCTTTAGATCTTCAGTAATGCCCTTTAACTATCTGCTTGACTACTCCACTAGGATCCTGCCAATACAAGTTAGAAGATTAAATCCTGAAGTCACTATTGAAATGTTCCCTGTTTTGAATCCTACGTCCACTCAGTCCTTAGATCAAGTTGAAGTCTACGTCCACTCAGTCCTTAGATCAAGTTGAAGTCCTTTTCCATCCCATGCACAGCACTCTACTGTATATTACCTCTCCACCCGCAATCCATCTTATATTATGCTACCAGGTGTATTTTATTCTATCATAGTTGGGTCTTCTTATCAAAGAATGTCAGACAGAACAAGGTTTCTTGGTCTGTCACATAAGACCCTCCACAGGTTGACCTTAACATACCCTTCGATAACTTCCTTTAGACAAACTGAAAGGATCACTCTTCACCCATGGTCCACCCAGCAGGCTCCTCTCTCCATCCCACAAGCCCCTCCTCTCCTCTATTTGCATCCAGCCAATCCCCCAAGACCCTTCCCTCCGTGCAATTTCCCCCTCGTTTTTAACCCTCACTTCCCTTCTGCTGCATTTTACTTGTGTTTGCTTTATAGTTACACTCATTGCCGCCTCTACTAGACTGAAAAATCCTCAAAGGAAACCAGTCACATTTGTAGATGAATAACCTGGGCAGCGTTACTTTCCTAAGTCTTTTTAACTGTAAAAAGAAAATAATGCCAGCCTCCTAAAGTGGGGAGGATGAAATAAGACAACAGACATAAAACTAGCACACAGTATAAAACGAAATAAAGGCCGTTAATTTTTTTCAAAAGAAACGTTGAGCATAGTTAACCTGTTGTTTAAAAAAAGTTATTTTACAGAAAGCTTTAAGGGTTTCTCACAACGAACGCGTCCTCTCCGAACTCACACCATGAAAGAAGGTGTCGGTTTTCCAAGGTCCACTCTAGAAACAGGAACGTCCCCTCCCCGTAAGCTGCTAACCCGCAGGCCAGCCAAAGCCGCCGGAAAGTGAAGGCATCATTCCATCAACAGGCACCCGTTGCGAAAGTGCAGGGAGTAGCTTCGGCGTGGAACCACCCTCTCCGCTCGGAGATCGCGCTCCGGCAGAAAAAAGCAAGCCCGACCGCAGAGGGGGGATCAGGGTCCCGGCCCTGGGCCCCGCGTGACCGCCGGCAGAGCACTGCGCGTCGGCGCCGGGACTCGCCGCCTGGCCCTGCCCTGCCCTGCCCTGCCCACCGGTGTGCCAGGAAGCCGCGGCGTCCGAGAAAGTCCTCAGGAACAGGAGAGGCACGGTCCCGACCGGGGGCGGCGGAGGGACCCCGAGGCCGAGAGCCCCAAGCCGCCAAGGCCGTGGAAGCCCGAGCTCGCGGCAGCGGCAGCGG